AGGCATGTATACACCAGTGCCTAGTGTTTTTCAAGCTGCTGGGTCAGGACTTGAACTGCCCAGTTGGCCATGTGGAATACAGCCATCTTAATCACTAGAAATGTTTAATAGTATAGCAGAACTCCTAACCTGAGGTAACTGAAATTCTATACAAAATTTGTACCTTCTATACAAAATTCGTAACTCTGTACCTATATGTAATTTTTCTATGTAGATATCTCTCATTGCATTCTTGAAGAGGGCTATGAATAAAAAGATGGAGTTAAAACCACTACGTTAGAGGAATCTAATAAATATATTAACATTTTTTAGCCTACTCATTATTAGACACATCTCACTTTTTTTAAAGAACACACTTTAAGCAGACACAACATGTAGATTATCCCAATTATTTCTCACAATGGAGGACACATCCATTTGGATTGCCTTCTTACTCCCCAAGGATTCCCCTACTCTGGTAAATGTACCTTCTACTGGCCAGCTTTTGGATCAAAGAGAATAACTGGCCCAACACAGACTAATGAATAATTCTACCAACGAATATGGAATTATAATTAAGAATATCACAATAACTTGACTCTTCCTTGTACAAAGGAATAAAGGAGATATTAAGCTTGGATATTACCTGTCATGTGTATGGGCCAGGAAACAGAAATCCAGTCCACTGGAAGATAAAGAGTTGGGTAAGAGAGGGGTAGCTCCTGGTTTCCCATCAGTGTTCCAGTCTTTGGTCCCAGGCTGTTCTAGAAATCTGGCTGTATGCTCAACCCTGGGTTACTTGAATGCCCCACCATCTCTCAGCCTTATAATAAAACCCCCGTCTCTTTGATAGCTTAAGTGGGTTTCTATCACTTGCAACCAAAAGATTGTTAAAAACACATTTTATCTTTAAAAGAAAACACTGGGCTCACTAGATATTGGAAAAGTAATTATTTATTATGACAAAAATAAACTGTTGACTGAAAACAAATGACTGTTACACTATATTGCACCATGATTGCAAATGGGCCAAAACCTGTCTAAAAGATGAACATTCCAGAGCAAACAGCATCCTTTTACTTGGGTAAGCAGGCATGCAAGCAACTCATTATAACATAATAGCAGAAATACAAAACCTTAAGTACCAGCAACCTAAACTTAACATACAAAAAGAAGCATTTCATGACAGTAATGAAAGATTAAAAATTTTAAAAGATGACTTTTAAATAACCCCACCATTAGAAGAACATGCTTTGAAGCATTTTCAAGAACTGATGATGTAAATGCTTCAAGTAATTTGTTGGCTTTAAAATTTTCTTTGTTAATGCTTATTATATACTGAACCAAGAGCACATCTTTCAGTTGCTTGGTTTGGATTCAGAAGCAGAGTTTGTAACATGAAAGACACTTTCCTTTTTCTCTGTACAATATTGGGGATCCACAGAGAGATCCAATTTATAATTTTGACCTTATTAATGCCATTTTCTATTTGACCAAGCTGTTTATTGAAATGTGGCTGCAGTTTTTGCAGAAAACCTGAACTTGATAGGTTTGTACTTAAATCCTAAGAAATGAACATAAATATGAATAAAGACACTTCAAAGTAGTTTTACATTTTGAGGCGAGAAGTGCAAGGAATACAGGTCTGCTACTTCCTCTCTAATGCTCTGAAGCACCACTTTACGTTAAGATGGCAATGTGTGATTATAATCATTACACTCTGATTAGAATAAATGCAAAAGCAAGGCCGTAACTGCGTTTAGTTTCTGTTGTCTTAACTATGTTCTGTGGAATAGATACACAGGACATTTGTAACTATTCTGTAACTGGGAAAAACTTTAACCATCAATTTATTTCACATTATCAATGAAATAGCAGCTAAACATTTTTAAGATCAAAATTAAAAGTGCTCATAACTACACTGAAGAGTTTACTCCAAGAGAATAAAACAGGGGCTTCAGAATACCTGACTAGCCTGAGGGAAATGTAAAAATATTAAAACGATTATAATCTCTTATGAGTAGGACTAAAACATGCAATAAATCATACATGACCGAGATCGACTGATAGTCATTTGGTATCTTACCTACACTGGCAGAAATGTATTCATGTATAATACGCTCAATCACATGTAAAGATTTTTCCTTTCTCTTATTTAAGTAATTAGATATAGACTAAGCACTTGTCCATTTATTTTAATAAAAACTGTAAGTTAATCTGGTATATTATGTTAGCCCTGCTGGTGGTATCATTAAAAGTGAAACAAAAACCAAAGCCCAAGCAATGTCTTCCCTTAGTTGTGCATTTTGCATATTTCAAATACATTTGGGTGAAAAGGGTATGTATGGGATGATACAACATCCCACAAAGTTGACCCAAAGCACCTGTGGACTGAAAAATGAGGTAATATTTTAAATTAAAATTTTACAAGTTTGTATAATAAAACATTTCTGTTCTTTTGAACTTTGTTTTCTATTCCAAAAGCTATTATTTCTTTCTTCTCCATTTCCAGGAGATGAAGATTACTGATTTTTAAAAAGGTAAAAGATGCCTCTATGTGACTAATTCCAAATTCTAAAAGCCTAATCCAGTCTTCAGGCTTGGCCACATTAAAAATAATATAGGCCATCTAGATCTATAGAAAATGATTATACTCTCTAGTAATTTTAAGTGCCTTAAAAGGGGAAGAAGGAGGAGGAGAAATCCACTCTTTTCATGCACACTTTTTCTTACCTGGTATCTTTTTGAAGATTTTTCTATGCTATGTTTATTTTTACTTTCCCTTTCTAGGGATGCCACTAAACTTCCAAATTAGTATTTCCCAAATGTATACACTTAAAGTTGATTTTAGATCTGTTGAACACATCTTTTTTTTCTACTTTAAATTTTAAATGGAGTAACTGAACATTTTTTTTATACCAACCTCTAGTTAGTTTCAGTCACCTGGTATTAGAAAATACATTTTGAGAACCTGGCACTTGAATTTTAGTCTTCACAGTAATACTAAATAATGATGAGTCGCTACTATAAAAAATCATAAATATAAACCATATTCAGATTTATTCAGGTATTTGTAAATATTGATAACCTGGCTACTCAAGCCTTTGAATACTGTAAAATCAAACTGAACTGGAACTTGGAACAGCTTCTAATGGTAACAAACTCTGAGCAAACTACCACTTCCTTTCGATTAGTAAAAGCCAGGAAAATAAGCAAGGCAAATTCTCTAGAAGAGAGTATTTCAAACACACACTTGTGCTTTATAAGCAGCTTAATATAGTTTCCTTAGCAATATGGCTTATTTTCTCTTGCATTGTCATTAGCTATTAGTTCCATTTAAGTTAAATAGCACTTACTAATTGATACTTAGTTTGTATTCATTTAGTAAATGAATTGTATTCATTTACTAAATGAAATCAGACTTGATTATATTCATTTACTAGATGAAATAATGATGTAGAAATCAAATAATAATAAAAATGAATTTAATTTCATATTGCATGTATTTTTTTTTGAGGATTTAGGATTTTAAAACTATTAAAATACACATTATCGTTTGCTTAAGTTCCTCAGTATAGGAAAAACAAGACAAGCCATGGCCAGTAATTGTCTAAGGTTTTTTTTTTGAGGGGTTAAGTTTTAACTGTATTAAGTAACGATTTAGGATTTTAAAACTATTAAAATACACATTATCGTTTGCTTAAGTTCCTCAGTATAGGAAAAACAAGACAAGCCATGGCCAGTAATTGTCTAAGGTCAACCAGATAACTGAAAAACGGTCAAATGAAAATTCAAATCCACTTTAGATAACCAGCATAAAAATATTCTACTACATACAAGATACCATGTTGTATCTTAAAGTGACTTTACTCTGAAAAGATGTAAAATAACTTTTAGAATTGAATTGGATATAAAGATATTTAGATTCAGAGCCATAGATTGAAAAGTTATTCATAAAGTTGTCTTCAGCGATAAATGCCAATGATAGGAGTCCATCTATAACTATAATGCCAGAACATGTTTCTACTGATATGGTTTTATGTAGTTAAGAATTAGGGGATGGTATAGTGGTTGAGGTGCTGGACTTCCACACGGCCAACTGTGGTTTAAATCCTAGACCGAGAGGCATGAAAATCACATTGGGTGCATGTTTGTGTGTGCCCCAAAATCCTGAAAGGAGGACGGAGGAAAAGGGACTGTGTCATGGCCATCCCCTCTGGGGAATGATTTCTCTGTCTCTCTGGGGAGAGTATGCATCTGTAGCAAAAATATCTTAAAAAAAATAAATAAATAAGGGTGCTATGCAAAAACAATTCCTTTATAATTTGTCCTAAAATATTAACCCCAAAAAATTTTTAATTATTTTTATTTAATTTTATTCATTCGTTTTTAATTTGACCAGAGATAAACACACACACACAGAGAGAGAGTTCATTTTTTTTTATTTTGTCAAGAGAGAGACACACACACACACAGAGAGAGAGAGAGAGAGAGAGAGAGAGAGAGAGAGAGAGAAAGTGATAAACCAAGTCACCAGGTCTAGGACTCAAACCATGATTGGCCATATGGGAGTTTCCAGCACCTTAACCACCATGCCACCTGCTGGTACCCCCAAAATTTTTTTAAAATTATTTGCTCAATATTTTTTTTGCCTTGCGACTCCCAGAAATCTTCAGAAAATACTGTTCATCACTATATTACTCACTATTTCCATAGGGAAATAATTCTTTTGTGCTATAGATAATAAAAACTATAAATTAGGCATAATCAAAATTGCTATGGCTATAGAGTTGGTACTCATCTAAAATAAATTTTTAGCAGGGCCAACAGGTGACATGGTGGTTAAGATTATGGCTATAGAGTTGGTACTCATCTAAAATTAGCAGGGCCAACAGGTGACATGGTGGTTAAGGTGCTGGATTCCCACATGGCTGAATGTGGTTTGAATCCCAGACCTAGAGGTCTGAAAATCATGCTGGCATGTGTACATGTATGCCTAAAATCCCAACAAGAAAATGAGGAAGAAGGATTGTGGCATGGCCACCTCCTCAGGGGATGATGTCTCACTTTCCCTCTCTGTTTCTCCCTGGCCAAGTGCATGTGCTCTATGGCAAAAACCTAAAAAAGGAAAAAATAATAATTTTAGGCAATGGAATTTGTATTTGTTATCTTTCCCCTAATGATTATAGAATAAAAATAGTTAGAGCTTTAGGCATATTAACACAAGGAACTAAAAGTAAAGACTACATATTTAAGGTTCGGTCTTCAATGATCGTGTATATATTATATACACAGTATATATAATATACACACACACACATATATACATATAAATATTTCAGGTTTTATGGAATTAAATTACATTAACAAATAGAAATATTCAGTATATTTCCTTATAAAAGGGTCTGTTCATTCTAAAAGAGTTCTCAAATGGGCTTCAATAAGAATGGTGGATTTAAAAATGAAAAAAGGTTCAAAATTAAGAAAAATGTCATTTTTGAACTTGCAAGGGTATTTTTACATTTTAATTATAACATATTAAAAAGACTATAGTGGAAATTTAATTATCTTCAAATTAAAAATAAAAGAATAATCTTCTGAAGATAAGTGGGTGTGTCCCTTGCTTCCTACTTACTAGAAACATTGCTAATGACAGGTGGAGTTGAAGGAGAGGATAAAATTCCAATGATTCCTCTGTTGAGTTAATTAGCCACTACCATGGCTCCTAAATAACAGGCATAATACAAAATTGAGAAATTATCACAAAATCTGAACAAAGGCACTAATAACACATTTACGTTTTTCATCATGTTATAGTTGGTTGATTGACAATGAATATCTGAACTAATATTTCAGAGCATTAGATACTTGCTTGGGTCAAAACATTCTCTTGGAGTAAAGGATAATCAGTTTTCATGTTACTGTAACAGGAAAGAGCTAAAGAAAACCTACAAAATACTTTTTAAGAGTGTTACATGAATTTCCCAATTGAACTTTTCCCAATAGGCACAAAATCTACATGGATGCCAATTTCATCTTCAACCAACAGCTAACATAAATCCTTTCTAACCCATAACTAAAAATATTCTTAAAAAAGGATTTAGAAAATAAATTGTATTTTAAAAATTAAATAGCAAATTTGACTCTTATACTAGTAGTTGTTTGACAAAATACAATTGACTATTAAAAACACTTTCAATATAATGCTGATATGGTAATATAAAAAATAACCATGTAATTTCATAGAGAAAATTGAGCCAGCTGATCTTACTAGATACAAGAAGGCAGATAATCATTTCATAAGGACAAATACAGGAGTATTAAATATTCTCAGGAAAGACTTACTAAAACTATCCTCAGAACTTATGCTAAATAATATAATCAAGTAGAAATTCAGGCCAGGTATAATTTAGGTAAATAGTACTTTCTCAATTTCTGTCTCCTTCACTCCCCTTTCATAATTATTGTTAATTTATGTCTGCTTTTCTCTCATATTCTTAATAATGGGTTATATTAAAACTAAAACTATACTAAAGTAAACTAAACTTATCCTCTACTTAGTATAGAATCACTAAGAAAAACATTCAAAACAAAGTTACAACTATTTCCCAATATCCCAGAAAGCTTTTTCCTGGTCATTTTTTAATTCAAAGGTGTGCTATCACTAAAAATAAATCAGAAAGAGGTTACCATATTTGATTAAATATAATAAATCAAGAACATTTGAAAACAGTGCAAAATTTAAGTCAACTTACAAATAATATTAAAATGAAAATACCATGTTTGATCAGTTATTTGATATGAACACTGACTCTTATTTTTGATCCAAATGAAAACAAATGCTGTAAAAACAATTATCATTCTCCAAGTATGCATTTTATCCCTTTCATTACATCAAAATCACACATTTGAAATAAAATGGGTTGAAACTAATCCTCCCTCATAATTGATTATGCATTGTTACTCTTATTAGACAACTGCCTCAGAAATCTTATAATGCTGTCTGATAAATCTTGTGGTAGATTTTTACTTTCTTATTTTTTAAGTTGTAAGTTAAGAGTACTAACTTTGAGTCTTACAGTAATATTCTAAAAGCTAGAATTAAATTCAGTAGTTTTCTATAAAATTTAGAATCCAAATCATAACTACAAAGATGGCAGTTGTTTCAAACCTATTACATAATACCCTTGGAACAGATTTAAGAAAAGTCACATAGTTTATAAGTAATATACTGCCAGGGGCAAAAATGCCCTAAGAGTCATACTTTCAAGTTTTAAAAAATAAGATGGACTGTTCATACTTCTATTTAGCTACTGCACAAAGCAGACACAATGTCTCTTGTAATTAAAATAGCTAACATTTTTGCTCATAATAGCTGTTTGTAAGTGGAAAGTAAAATATTCCAAGTGTCTTATTTTGTGTACTGGTGTGCTTTAATAATGTCTCATATAGTTTCATATGCATTGAATACCATGGCGTTCTTAAAATACCAGATTTATCCGACAACATTGACCATCAAAGCTGGGCTTTTGAATAAATATTTTACCTTGATCAGTTTTTGACCAAATGTTGTAGGTAAAAAAGTAAACTTAATTCCTTTAGAGAAAGAAAGAGCTTACTTAATTTCTATGCTAATTGCAATTTAAAATTATTCCATGACTGCAATAATGTTGGGGATGTTTGAAAGGCAAGTATGCATGATGTTTAATCTTCCTTATACACATCATCTTGGCAGATTTCCTTCTTTTATAGTAAGTGTTCAAAGATAAACTGTTTATAGAGGGAGCAGATATTTAGTGCTGGGAAAGTCTGCAAGCAGTACCTGATGAGTTCCACTACTACTTTGTCAAAGCAGTGATTTTTCTGGTCAGGAGGGAGGGAGCGGTGGTCAAGAACTGAAAGTCATTAAAGTTACAACAATTATTTCAGAAAACATTAAATATATGATAAACATTTTTCACAAGGCAGTCACTGAATAATTAGAATAAGCAGTCAGAAGAAATCTGTTGCTGAAAACATAGTTATACATTATGTTCATCCAACTGAAGATTAGTGCATTAAAAAAAAGTTAAGAAAAATTCTTTTATGTTCCAGGTCAGCTGCACTTGATTCAAGTGTTGCTCATAGAGGTTTGTGTTGTTATAAATTAAACATGCTGCTGCCTTAGCAGCCAAAAGTACTAGGAAAAAATGTTCATGTCACAGAATAAATAGAGCAGTCTCTTTCAAGCAAAAGTTATCTCACGCCAATCCGGGAGGTCATCCACTCTAGACCTTGGCATAACCTGGACAAAAAAAAAATAGAAGTACTTTTAAAATCGAAAGTAGCAGTATAATAAGAAATTTTTAAAGGCAAAATTTACTTTAAGAAAACATTCTTAGTCAAGTAATGAGGGAAATTGCTTCAGTCTCATTTTGAAGCTACAGCTTGGGCAGATTTGCTATCAAGATCACACATTCTCTCCCCTTTTCTTTAAAATGAACAGAAACTGAAATGACTATAGGAAAATGGCATGAACTTCACCTCACTCAGTTCAGTTCTACAGAATGGAATACTTATGGTCCAGTGTTTTAAAGTATAGGTCAAAAAGGTCTACAGAGACTATCACATGGCAAGCTACTTCTTTATATGAGAAAAACTAAGGTCAGCTTGATCTGAGGATAAAAAAGGTCCCAGATTTTAAGAGTGGGTAATCCATATTTAACACACTGGATTCCCCTAGGACTAAGAGCCACATTCAAATTCTTAGGAAAGGAAGTATATACTATATACACGAGTCTCAAATGTGTACTATCTAGTAGTATGCTTCCCAAGAGGACTTCTGATGATGAAGGGATATACTCTGCGCAAAGCTAGGAGCTTGGGTTTAAGTCCTTGCAAAAAAATGTAAAATTATTCAGGTAACATGACAGTTTTCAAATGAAGACATTTGCTCACCAAGAGAAACAAATAGTCTTCAAAAAATCGGGCTTGTAGGAACCAGCAGTTAGCGTAATGGCTATGTCGCTGGACTCCCATGTAGTCGACCACAGTTCAAGTCCCGGACCCAGTGGCTTAAACTCAGGCCAGGAGTGTGTGCATGCGTGCCCAGGATCACAAGAGGAGAAGGGATTGTGGCGTGGCCATCCCCCTGGGGGGTGGTTCTTGCTTTCTGTCTCTCTGTCTCTTTCTGCCTTTCTGGCGAGTGCACACGCCCTATAGCAGAAACCTCTCAGAAAAAAAAAAAAAAAAAAATCAGGGTTGTAAAACCTAAACTCAAAAGTTTATATGGACTTTTTGGGTATAACACTACATTTACTTAAGAGTTATAAAAATATTAATTTTGTTTACTAAAATCATTTCAACCCTATAAGCCAAGACTCGATACAAAAAGCACCTTAATGAAGAACAAAAGAAACACGACACAAGAAGAAAAGAAGTTTGCTTAGAAAAGAAAGAAATCTGAAAGAGGTCATACTTCCCTCCCCTCAGATTCACATTTACTTACCCTTCACCTGTTAGAGCACAGCAGGACTGAATGTGCCATGGGTGATCCTTAATTGAACTGAGGGTGAGGTATTTGGAGATTTCAGCTGCTGTCATACACCCTTTCATATCTTGTTTATTTGCAAAGATAAGAACTGCAGCCTTCCGTAAATCCTAAAATTCATACAAAACATTTCTAATATGTGAAATAACACAATTCAAGTTAACCTAACGAAACAGAAAGGTAAAATATACTCACTCAGCTGGCCAGTAGTAATAAAAATGCCTCTACTTTAAAGTTAAGCACTAATATAAAATTTAAAAATTAAAAAAACCTTTTTTATTCATGAGAGCACAAGCACACACGAGAGAGTGAGCGAGTGAGCGAGAGAGAAATGGGGGAAAGGGATCTTCTTGACAAGGTCTTATCATGTCATGACCCCCAATCTTTAAAGTTTATTAAATAAAAATAATCTTGGGCTAAACACAGTGGTTAAGGAAGTGACATCAGGCATGGCTGACTGCGGATTAAATTATGGTCCCAGTAGCTTGAAAAGCACACTGGGTGCACATGCATGCATGCTGAAAATCCTGAGGGGAAAGAGGGGTAAAAGAAAAAGAATTACAGCATAACTACACCCCGGCGTGGGATGCTTTCTCTCTCTCTCTCTTTCTGGTAAGCTGTGTGGCCTCTGGCAAGAAAATAAAGAAAAAAAATCCTAAAGAACCATAATTTATTCATTCTAACAAAGACATATATTAACACAAGCCAGATATTTAGAAGTTTGGTTTTTTTTTTTCCTATTTTGGGGGCCAAAAGAATCTCACTATAAAGAAAATAAATCTGACTCTTAAACATTGACTGAAGGAGACAAAGGATGGTGCAGCAATAATGGAAGTGGACCCAAGTGGGATGGTCCTGGGTCCACACCAGGGTCTCACTGTGTACACATAGTACACGCATGGATGTGCCCATGATTTGGACTGGTTGAGGCTGAGAATGGAAGGGAGGATCCTATTGTGGGTGCCTGTCCCTCTCCTATTAAGAAATAAGTAAGCTTTAAGAAAATATTGACTTAAAACTACATGAGGAGCATTCTAATGAACAAACAGTAATATATTGCCAAATATGACGGGTCTTTAAAAGGCCCATGGAAAATGTCTATTATGAAAAAGCTATGTGTAGATTTCCATTTTTTTGCACCAAGAACAATTCATACTGGTCCAGCCTATTGGCATATTCAGCAGCAGGTGAACTATAGTGCTGGAAGCCACATGGTCAACTGTAGGTTTAGATCCTTGGGTCAGCTTGAAAACACATTGAGTGCGTGTATGAGTACCCACATTATTTCTGACAAGGTGAAGGCTGGAGAAGGGAGACTGTGGTGTGACAAGATCCTGTCCAGGTGTTTTAATCTTTCAAACATGCTCTTTCTTATGCACTATCATGAATTCAATTAAACTTAAAAAAAAAAAAAACCCTCATACTTTAAGTACATATTTTAATTTCTAAGTGCACTTATACTATACAGTTTCTCCAAAATTTAACTAGAGGACATAGCTGGACAATACTTATTAATTATTAGCCTTTGCAGGTGTAACTAAAGTTCATTGATTAATGCTCATTGTGACAATGCTCATACTACCAAAACACTAGAAATAACCTAAATGGAGGTCAGTCCATGGCCTGGTGGTTAAAGCAGTTAGACTGAACATGGCTGGACCTGGTGGAAACTTGAGAAATGTGCCAAGTGCACATGCGTGCATGTCCAAAATCCTGAAAGGAGGGAGAAATAGAGGAGAAGGGACATTGGTATGATTATGACTCATGGGGGGGATGCTTTGTTACTTTCCCGCTATCTTTATCTCTCTGATGAGCATATTCACCCAAGAAAAAACCCTAAATCATCAGTAATAGAAGAACAGATCAACTGTGGTATATTCATACAGTGGAATACTATGTAGATGTTGAAAAGAATAAACCGGGGCCAGCAGGTGGCATGGTGGTTAGGGTGTTGGACTCCCATATTGCCAACCACAGTTTGAGTCTCAGGCCTGGTGGCTTAAAAAATCACACCAGGCATATGTTCGTGTGCCCAAAATCTTAAGAGAATGGAGAAGAAGGGAGTGATTTTCAGTTTTCCTCTCTCTGTGTTTGTCTGTCTTTCTCTTTCTGGTGAGCACACATGCCCCATGACCAGAAAATCTTAAAAAAAAAAAAGGAAAAGAAAAAAAGGAACTATGATGGGTACATGTGTGTGCATTCCAAAATCCCAAGAGGACAAAGGAGGTGAAGGAATTGGGATGTGGTCATTTCCCCCAGAGGGTGATTTCTCACTTCCCTCTGTCTCTCTCTGGCAAGAGCACGTGACCTCTAGCAAAAACTGAAACAAACAAACAATAAACTAAAACTGCATATATATTAACATGGAAAAATTTAAATGTCAGGCAAAAAAAGTGACACAGATACACATATTATGATACCACAATTAAAAATATTAAAAACGACTACAATATTCGGTAAAATTCAGACACATAAAAATGTACTAAAGGGGGAACCAGCAGTTAGTGTAATGGCTATGTCGCTGGACTCCCACGTAGTTGACAGCGGTTC